CGATATTAATATCAACGGAATTTTTGTAATCAATGGAAATCGAATATAATCAAATTTATTCGACTCTTTCGTGTATTATTCATAAAATTCTATGATAAATGTCACGGTGATTGATGAAGTATTATAATTAATACTGTTTTATTATACTGTTTTTGGGCAAATATAAAGAATAAGGGATGTTATTCTATGCTAATATATATATATATTTATTACTAAAGTAATTATAGTATATAGTAATATATACTATGTTTATATATCTTGTAATCTCACAATTATATTATTATTTATCAATAAATTAAAAATTAAAAATTAAAAGTGAACCTCCACAAATCTTGGGGCTCTTTCGGACCTTGCGAATTTTTACATACATTTATATTATTATAATGATAGTTAAATTAGCAAACAAAATTTCCAAATTTTTATTCTACATGATTCCCATCTTGCTCCTTAAATATTCCAACCCTTCATCTCCTTTTTTAAATCCTTCAACCGGTCCTCTATTTTTCTTCCCTTGTTTTCCTCCTCCATCTTTTTCGTCGGACAGTAATCGGTCGACGAAAAGTTCCGGAGGTGCGAAATTCCACTAGCGAATTTTTCCCGCCATTCGCGATTACGAAAGTTAGCCAGCGATTTTCGGTGGAACCGAGGCATTTAAAACGGCGAAACGGGGGAAGAAAGTTCAGGTGGTGGAGCTTTTTTTCTCGCGAATGGGTTAGCTCCCCGCGGTTGCAAGCCTGGGAGGTAAATTCCACGAATTCTTGGAAATTCTTCTCCTTCGGAAAAGGGAAATATGCGCGGAAAAATTGCGATCGCGATTCCGAGTCATTTGCAATTTTCGTGACGTACCTGGGCCAGCATCGAACGGTACGCAATAGTTCAAAGAGACACACCCGGATGGAGAATGAGAATGACATTAGCAGGTGCTCGAATCTGGCGATGGTGCCACTCGATTATTAAATGCGTCGTCTTATGAAATCGAGCGGAAATAATGGGTCGCGTGCAATGTGCAATTTAAAGGTAGGAATGGAATACTCGAGGGAGGGCCAATTAAGAGTTTAAAGTTGGAAAGAGCGGTATATCGGGGGTTCCGTGTCCCGCTTTTTCCAGCCACTCGTTCACTGTCCATAAACAGCCAATGGGATGGTATTGGCAGCGGGAAAAAAGCGTCAGGTGTATGGCGTACAGATTCGAGCAGCGTCGAATTGATCGCTTAATAATGCAAATGCGATTTCAGTCTTTAATGCCGACTCGGCGTTCGCCGCTTAATAGGATCGCATTTAAAGAATTGCACCGAGTTTCATTGACATCGGTGACTCGCACGGGACAAATATTGACTTTTTTATCCCGAAAACCCCTTCGTTTTCAAAAATAGATGCAATTTAAGCCGCTAATTCGGCAGCAGAAAGGGGAATCCTCTTTCATTATTTTCCCCAACTCTGATATGCGAAATTTAAGTCAAATCCTCAACTGCGAACTCCAAAGATTGTGAAATATAAATAATAAAAATGCTAATGTATTGTATATTTATAAATTTTAATCCTACGTATTCTACAATTTTAATACTTTATTTTCTTCTGTGCAGAATGGCGAATTTTTATTTTTATTTCATACTCGTCCCATTTTGTCCGATGAAATTATTCCTTTTTAATTAGCATGAGTCTGCTATCAGTACTAACAAACTTGGAACCCTTAAAATACCAAAAAATAAATATTTGTGAGAGGAAATTTCAGTAAGAAATATAAATATATCGAATTTTTATTTTTATTTCACGCCCACCCCATTTTGTCCGATGAAATTATTCCTTTTAAATTAGTACGAATCTCATATCAGTACCAACAAAATTGGGACTCTGGAAATACCAGAAAATAAATATTTTTGGATAGGAAATTTCACCAAGAAGATCTCCAACAATTTTTCCTAATTGCTCGCGAGTTAGACTCGGTGTCTAAGGAATCAACTGTCACGTAAAGGAGCAATAAATTGCAGCGACTTCCCTGACAGGCTAACGAGGGTGGAATTCAAAAAAGTTGGTCAACGGATCGATCAAAATTTAGAGGATATACTCGGGTTGTCTCGTCACGAGCATTACAGCTTCACAGCAAATCTTGATTAACCTCCTTCGTCTTCGTCTCGGCAAAGTTCCCGAGTTCCGAAGTGCTGTGACGGAGGAGCGTAACATCCATTTTCATCCCTCAATGACGTGCGTCTTGTTCAAGCCGACCATCGTTCCCTCGGTTGTAGAGTGTCACGCGTTAAATTCCATCAGGAGTGACGTTTCCGTGGTAATATTCAATGACTGGCGATGATTAAACCGCTGTTACGATTTTTCCAACTGTCGAGAACAGAGGGAACTCGGACGCGAGAAATATGGGAAAAATTGCTCGATAAATAGGAGATTAAGGTCGCTGCAATATGTGTCGCGAATATATTCGTCGATTTCCCTTCGATTGGAATATCGAATATTTCCTTTTAGAATAAATTATTTACCGGGGATTCCACTGCTGTTTCAGCGGAAATTCTCCTCGCGAAATCTGGATACCGACGAAAATTCATTTTGTCCAAACCGCGAAAGAATTATATATAATTTGCACGATTCATATTTCTTTTAAAAATGAGAACCATCGAATTTAGTCACCATCATAGATTACAAATTTATATTCCCTCCACCGATTCCAGAAAATTATAAAATTCCCCAACCACTTTATTATTTATATTTCAAGTAATTGACATACTGTTACCGCCATAGCAAACCTGAAATTAAATTCAGATTGTAACGAGAATAAAAATATTTTGCAGAATAAACTCGTAAAGGGGGTATCGAAATTGTCCGACGTTCGCATGGTTGCCATTCCGAAACGGTACGCGCGTTTTATATAAAATTTACGCCATAGTATCAAAGAACCTTTTTCTTTGGAATGCACTTTGTTTCGCGCCGATCGCATTTTCCGTCGTCGAGAAATCGTCGTTTAAATTGTGATCCGATTCTCTGATATCTGCTATCTCCGTCCTCGTCGCACACTCGGACCTCTCTCTCTCGCGCGCCGCCCGCTGACCTACCCCACGCTTGACCAGCGTGAGCTGGCCAATGACAGACACTGAGTCAGCGCTTTTTTCACTATTTCTACTTGACATACGCATTTTCTGGAATACATATAGGTCACTGGAATCGAACTCCCATGTGCATTTTAAATGGCACCTTTGAAGTCGTATAGCTTCGAAATCGATTGAAATATTCGCTCGAAACAAAATTCGCTATAAAGAGCATACTTTCCTCTGTTCTCGAAGGTAACGTCCAATATTCCTATCGGCTGCGTCTTTAGCCGGAATTTCAGCGAACGTCGAGGCGTATCAAAAAAGGATTTATTAATTTTATTCAATTGATTTGCATGCTTAAATTATCAATGCTAAGTAATCGAGTAATAAATTAATGTTTGCGTTTAATTTATGTAATGGCATCTGCATAAAAGACAGAAAATTAAACTTCGTTCGATTGAAGAGTACAATTACGAGCATCATTAATAATTAATGCGGATGATATAATACGCTATAGTCTCATGATTCTATTGGCACTGCAATACTTGATCAATAATTAAGTGAAATTGACACTTCGATAGACGTTGGATATGAAATGAGGCAAGAATAAAATTATCCCAACGAATAGCTCGTATTTATCCATTTCATAATGATCGGGTTTTGGTCGAAATACTTTGATCAGTCGGATTTTATTCGAAATTCTTTATTTATAGTGGTTATTGGTTTATTTAATGGTTTCGTTATCCTTGCGCGATTGTCTATGGCGAATAAATCGTCGGCAACTATATCCGATTTCACTTCCTGATACAAACTATGTGAAATATGTGGACGTGCAGACAATGGCCGTTCAAGGTTCTAGCGACATGTGCCGTTGTCGAACAATCACACGTTCACTGAGGCATCCATTGTAGTTACTTGTTTTATAGGTCGTTTCAATGACCATTGTGCATCACGCTATTTACAGAGGAATTGTTCAAAGTCGGTAACCAGGTCCCGAAGTAAAAATTACACGTGTTCCCGCGATTAGTATCGATTACTTCGGGGGCATCCTGCGATTTTGTCCACTCGATGTTTTTTCCATTTTTATTAATATTTCTTCTTTTTTTCACAATATCGCGGGTGAAAAATAGCGTTGTTTTCTGTACGAAGTAATAACGCGTGTCATTGTTTTTAATCAAATATTTTGATGGATGCATTTCACCGCTGCAAAAGAAAACTGGTAACGCGTACACGGGAAATGCGACGTTCATTTGTAGTAATTCAACATTTCACTTATCGTTCCTTTCTTTTTCCCGGATGTTTTATTTCGTGGATTTGGTTTTATGAGCGTGAATGCGAGTGTACGAATTCTAGTGATGGCACGAATGTAGATATGTATATAGGAATAATAGAGATTCAGTGCGAAGGAACACTTAGGCCCGTCTAGCTTGTGACGAGGCAATAGATAGTAATGTAGGATTCGGATTGAATGTTTAACCCATTGCATCCAAGCGCGGAATATTCCGCGAACCCGCGACTGCCTACTATCACCGAGCGCGGAATATTCCGCGAACCCGCGACTGTCTACTATCACCGAGCGCGGAATATTCTATTCATAAAATAATATTTATTTCTTTCCTTTTTCATAAAAAAATGTAAAATGCGATGTTTGCGATGTAACAGCTAACAATTCCTACCATATATACACCACCACCAAATTCGTATCTCTACAATAGTATTAACAGAAATTTCACCACACATACCTAATCGTTGTAATCTTTTTGTGACGCGTGTACGTCATAATTTGTAATAAATATATAATTGTTAAACAGCAAACTTGCATATTTATCAGAAACAGAAAGAAATAAAAATGCTCTGATTATGAGAGTTAGGAGCCGCAATGGCAGCTGTTTGATATCAGAAGCATCGAATTGAAGCTTACTTTTGTACTATGAGAACTTTCGTATAATTGTAATTGTCTAACGCAATGCGAATTCCTTTCAGGATCTCAGCGCCGTTTCAAGTAGCTGCCGTGGCGCTGGTGCTCGCCGCCACAATTTCAGCTATAATTGGACATTGTTATTCGGATCATAGAACTCTGGTCGCCTGCGGATTGTTTCTCCTCAGCGGTAAGCATTAATACCGAATCACGAGCGAACAAAAACCGAGTTAGCCATTCGCTAAATTCCGCCATGTTCTTTCACTCGTGACAAGAAACTTCGGTCTAGAACTGATAAAAGCTTCGAGCTTGAGAGCTTTGAGTCTACAGTCACCCGTCTCCGTCGTCGCCAAGATCGTTGGAAAATATTTCCAACCATTCCAAAGCTTTTCCTCTTCGAGGAAAAAGAAAAGGCTAGACGCAGAGGGAGAGAGATAGGGAAAAACTAGATCCGCGCGAAATTGTAAAATAAGCAGGAGAACCGGGCGATCTGCTCGACCCAAAAAGTACATTTCATACTTAACGCTATCTCCGAGGTTTATAAAGAGGAATGTCAGCCGGGCCGAGTGCCATAAAGTCTGGTAAAAAGTGCGCTGTGGTACAGAGGTCGCTTCTAATCAGCGATGATCCGGCAAAAAATCGTCCGTGGGAGACATGTCTGGTTGGACGTGGCGTGATTAACACGGTGGACGCTTTCAGAGCCGGAAAGAAACGATAAAGAGGCGGAAAAAGGGGGCGATTTTTGAAAGCTGACGAGTCGTTTGTTCGCTGGTCACGTATCGAGTCAGTGGACTCCTTTCTTTCTATTTCACCGTCTTTCCTCCGGTCTTCTCTTTTTCTCGCCCCTTCGCGTCTTGTCCCTCACGCGAGCCGAGCACCACCGGCGGTGTATCAACCGCACTTTTTCCCTGTTGAAAAGCTAACAATGTGATCCTCGGGTCCTCGGAACTCTGCTGGCACGCGGGGTTCACGCGTGAACAATTCATGGATCATCTCGGAATCACGTATACCGACCGTGTTCTGTTCTCCAGGGTAAGTTCGTATTCCTGACAGCGGCTACTTAATATTCCGAGGCCGCTTTTCGCGGGAGATGTATCGTTTTATTAAATAAAATGTTTACGCAACTGGAGGGTCGCTGGGTTTTTGCGGCGAAAAGGATAGCTCGGTTATTCGGGTTTTATTCTTTTTTGGTAGGATCGCGTGAAAATTGTTTCCCTTGGATAAAAGAAGCTAGTTCTATTCGACAAAAATTATTAAATCATTATATTATTGTTATTATTATTTTATTTATAAACGGACCGTAGTCCATTGACATAACATTTCACATATAAAAGAAAAGCAAACAAATTATACATAATATAACACCGAAGGAACGTGCTTATAAACGCTTTGTTCAGGAGGAATAGCTTTAATCTATAATCATCCGTAATTGCCTTTTGAAAGTTTGTAAAGACCCACAAAAAAATCGATACGATTATAAAGAGCGTTCGAGTCGGTAATAATACGATAAATTGGATTAATTAATCCATATGTAGATCTGGACATATGTATACGAAAATCTGCTCTAGATCTCGATACACGTTCTGGCACATAGAAATTAATTTGCGTAAGAAGAGAGGAGCGATCAATGCGATTATTAATTAAATTAAAGATAAAACTATGGTCAGCTATTCTTCTTCGCGCAGAACATGTTTCCAGGTTGACAGTATTTAATATCGCGGAGTAATCATGATCAAAAATTGATATTGGGTTATTTAGCTTATATGCACGAAACCTGAGAAATTTATGCTGCGCTCTATCGATCACGATTTCGTGATTAAAGCTTTTCGACGAATTTCGATATTCCGTAGAGATTTATACCTTCCTAGAGAATTCTAACTGATGAGTCCACTAACAGGCCCAGGATGAAACGCATCCCTTCCTTTTCCTTTCATTCCTTCTAGCACCTTCTAGCTATGTCGAGGATACCTAAGATCAACTAACTTCAACAACAGTGGGGACCCCCCACACTCTCTCAACTAATTCTTTCTATCGCGCACATAGCACTCACGGTATAAAATATTTTATCAACAACGACGTTCAATTTTTCCCAACGAATCGCTTAATTCGATAGCAAGAGTCAGCGAAATCCTCGAACTTATTCCCGCCTTTCTAAGAAACAACTTGCCCCTTTCAAACGGGTCCAGAGCGAAAATTCGTCTGGCTGTCGAAAACCAGATTTCGAAACTTCATTTTCTCACAGAGACTCCAGTGCACGACGATTCCCAACTTCGTTACGTTTCGTTACCGCGAAACGGAGTTCTTGGCCCCCATTGGTCCACGATTTCTCTGATACCGTTCCATATACTCCACTGCGGAATGATACAACACGCTGTCGCGGACTTCTGATTCGATGCACGTCCTCGGTGCTCAGCAACAGTTTTGGCGTGGCAGTCTTCCATGCTTTCCGTTCGTTACACACATTCCCGTGAAAAATTCCCGCTGTTTTACCTCTCGAACGGTAATTCAAAATAACGAAGATATTCTGCTTTCGAAATCATCCATCAGAGTCACAATCGCTTGTCAAATAGATTCCATTTACTGTATTAAAATATGTCGAAATAAATTTTTAAATTCCTTTAAAAAATTGACGAATTCTTACATTAGGTAAATACGTATATAAATGTGCGCTGTGTACGAGTTAAAAGGTTCTACAATTCTACGATTCTACATCCAAGCGCGGAATATTCCGCGAGCCGCGACAGTCTACTATCACCATGCGCGGAATATTCCGCGAGACCGCGACTCTAGTATCAATGAGCGTGGAATATTCTATTTATAAAATAATATTTGTTTCTTTCCTTTTTCATAAAAATATTCTACAATTCATCGTGAACAAAATACATACATAGTATTTTCCAGCCACATTTCTTATATTATTAACTCCGTTTCTAGAATTCTCGGTTTCATTCTACGCTTTTCCTCTGATTTTTATTCAATTCACGCTATAAGATTGCTATATATTACCCTTGTTCGTCTCTTATTGGAATACGATTCAATTATATGATCTCCGAAAAGCTTTAATCACGAAATCATGATCGAGAGAGCGCAGCATAAATTTCTCAGGTTTTGTGCATTCTTCTCGTAGTTTCATATTCCTGTTATTTCCTTCCACCCTTGTTATTCCTAAATTCCTCGTTATCCATGTAAGACGAGCTATTCTGTTTATCTTTACATCAATCGTCGTTCGTCTTTAATTTACCGGCATTTTTATTTTTGCCATTTTCGTCGCTGATTTACCGTCTTCGAACTCCGTCCTCTCTTCCAATTGATCTTTCAGCATAGATTCACTGTTTCCTATTATCCTTTGTTCAACCTCCACCAATTATTGGTAGTAACTCTCTTAACCTAATTACCCTGGATACCTTTCATTCCAACTGCTTCTCTGTGCTCATTATCTTTCCAATTTGCCAGACTCTGCGTCCTCACCTCCGCCACCCTCCTCCATTGGGAACCCCATAGCTCTGGCTCCGGATTAAATATTCACGTGATTAAAAATACCCAGTCGATCGTGAGGAGCGGAATGAAATACGAGAAAAGCCGCGAGCCTGTATCGAGAGACTTTTCCACTCGAGCAAAATCGAGTGCGTGGGCGCAGAGCGGAGGAACGAATGAAAATCGAGCAAAAGGCTACCCTGGGAAAGTCTGATGCCTCTGTACGCGCGACGGATGAGCCAGGGTGGATGGAGTGGCTGGATTAAAAATCGCTCGGATGGGATCGTCGTTCGACCGGAAGGATAAAACGCGACGTCCCTCTGCCTTCGACTTCCGACCAAATAATTCGACCATCGTCTGCCGGGCTGTAATTAGCGACCAGTTTATCGAGTCCCGACTCGATACGAGAGGGAAACTCCACTTCCGCTTGGTAACTGCGAGCTGGGTGTCTTTATAACTTTAGCTCGGACTTTTTACGGGCTTGAAATTAAATCGTCTGGAATTTTCATCGAATTTTACGCAATTTTGGATGAAGGCTGAAATTATGATCGATGATTCATAGGATAAAAGTGGTCTTTGGTTATTATTCGAATTATTTTTAGTCGTAATTGGTACTTTAAGTTTGGTCGTGGTAGAACTCATGTCCGACGAGAAATTAACAAAAATTAAAATTAAATTGAATTATTCTACTTCTTCCTTTGCTCAATTTGACGTGTTAGTGAAAATTTGGTCACAAAATTTGAGGTGAAATGGCTGTTGATCAATAAGTCAGAAAAAGTACCGAAATTTATGATTTTGATAAGTATTGAAAAATTGTGTAACTGATGACAGTAGCACTTTCATATTCCCCTTTTTGGATTACTTCATTCCTACAATTTCGAGTAAGGATTTACCAGTTGAACAGAGAGTAATTAATTTTATTTGTTCACTCTTCGATTCCTTTTTATTCTCTGCCTGTAATTTAACTGCGGAGCAAATTAAAGTTATTCCCGTTAAAATTGAAGCCCGTTTTATAATATCGAATTTAACTTTCCCATAACCACATATTTAATTTTCTCTCAAATATTATATTTGTACAAAAATCACTTGTACGTTTATTTATACATAAATCAAGATATTGTGCAGTTAAAACCAGTAATTAGTCTATCTGCGCGTTTAATCACCGATATTAAAATGTAATTATTCCTTTCTTTCTTCACGAGTGTGATTATCGAGCAAATATACGTAAATTAATTTGTTAACCCTCTGCACTCAGTGATTTTCTCGTTACAGGAAAATAGCAATTCGAAGAATTTCTGCCATAAAGTCAACGACATTTCTAAAACGGTAAATAAGAGATCATATGCAAATTAAGACGTAGAATTATTTTACTTCGATATTCCACTTATCGTTGGCTAATCGTAAATTCGATATATTAATTAACATCCATCTTTAGAATCTGATTAAATGGCGACTGAGAGGCGCCTCTCAAGTACAAAGGGTTAATCTACATAACAAGAATACTAATAAATATAAATCGAGTAACCCAAATTTCAAATGACTCTTTTACAATGAATAAAATTTTCTATTTCATTTTTACAAATATTAAAAATATTATAACGCTTTAACATTAAAGTCAAGAATACTCGTTTCAGATATTATACAGACAGACTACTGCTTCCATCGAAATTAACGCTGATATGCATCCACATAGAAACCTGATTACGCCGAACCTAT